GTTTTGTAACGTCTAAAAAAGTTTTGTAACGGCTAAAAATTATATATTTGCATATAACTTATATATATATATATATATATTGTTTTGGAATGTAATTTGCATAATTATATTTTAAAACATATTTGTAAAATGTATTTTTTTTTAAATAATATAAATAATGTTCTGTAAAATAGTTTTTGAAATTATATTTTAAAATATACTTTTGACAAATATTTTTCAGATTAATATATATACTCTTTCGGAAAATTCTTTACGAAACTGTTTTAAAACATAGATCCAGAAAATACATTACATAACATCGTAATTTTCTTCTGACTATCATTAATATTATTATTTTTTTATCTTTTGATATGTTTATGTTTTTGCAGTTTTATTTTTATCTATATCTGGACATGGAATATCATAGGAAGGGGGTCTGAGAAATAAAATAAAGAGTAATCAGAAAAACTAAAAGAGAAATGGTAATATATTATTAAGTATAGGAATGTATTTATTAACGAGTTAATCGTTCACTGTCAATGTAAATTTTTTTACATTGATAACCAATCATTTCTTTTAATAATATATAATTTATTTTTATTTGATTAAATAAGTAAATGATATGACATTATTAAAATAGATAATTAGTTGTCCGTATATAGATAATTAACTCTTTATCAACACCTAAAAATTTCTATGCCTTGGTCGATTACAAAGTAAACGGGTTTACTCATAAACTTTAATTAACTCCTTTTTTTGTAATCACATTAATTTAAGTGATTATTTTTTTTTTGTCTAAATGTTATATGTCACTTAAAATCTTAAATGTTAATGAGAAAAAGAATTTCATATTTTGAATATAAATTAAAATTGTGAATTATAAAATAGCATACTATAAGCGTAACTTAGTCTTAAATATTAAAATAAAAAAACTTTCTTCTTAATATTGAGTATGAAGTGAGAAGTCAAACATGATTATCACGGACTTTCTTTTTATTTCTCGAGGAATGGTTTTAATTGAGCATAGACCTTGATTTGATTAACAATATTGATTTTTTTATTACCATGTGATTAGTTGATTTGAAGGGAATTTCCGTGAAACAATATTGATTTTATTTTAGCTGATGAATGATTATTACGAATAATAATTAATAAAGTAATTAGTTAGAGGGTAGAGGGTAGAGGGTAGAGGCGTGGGTTGAAGAAGGTTGGAAATGATGGAATGGGCATAGGCATAGGCATAGGGAAAGAATGGGGGGGGAGGGGTTA